CATGGCTTGATGGAAAAATGTATCAGGGATGAAAGTAACAAACAACCTTCAGACAGCCCCCAAAACAGACAAGCCCTGTCACCAAGAGGTTCCAAGATGGATCAAAACAAGACTTAAGGCCCAGTGTAGATGCCACCCAAATGTCCCTCATGGCCAAATGGCTATAAAAATACATGGCATCTATCCTCACAGTGGACTGTTATTTCTGCTACAAGGGAGAAACTCTACATCTTACACCAAGGTGGGACCCTGAGGACACTGTGGTGAAGAAAGGAGTGAAAGGAGGAGAGGAATGCATCCAAAAACATTGTCTGAGTTCACAGGATTTGTGGACACAGAGTCCAGAGCTGTCCATTCATAGAGCAAAAGCAAGCGTACTGCTTCCTAGTGGTTGAGAGAGAGGACCAGGTAGTCATGCTTTCTCTGGTCTCAGACTGGGTCTTTCCTTGGATTTGTTTGGCCATTTTTACCCCAATCAGAGGAAGACATTCTGCTTATTAAGTTTCAGATCCATAGAAACAGAGTCTCTATTTTTTAACCAAGGCATACAACATATAGTCATGGCCTATGGCCCAATGATATCAGAAAGGAAAACAATATTTAAAAATCCTATGCCTTGGGCTGAGATATGATTTAGATTAGAATTTATCTTCAAAAAAATTACTTTTATTGGTACATTTTAGGTATACAATGATCACATTCATCATAGGGCATTTGTGCCTGTACATGTTATAACTTAATTCCCACTCCCCGCCTTTCCTCGACACCTCTTCCACTCCTTTTTACAAAAGCTTTATTTCCATTTTTCCCTTCTTTTCTCATTTTCTTACTTTTACCTTGTTTCCTTTTCCCTTCCCCCCTTCCTAGTTCCTCTCCCCATTTGGACATCTGCTTCATATTTCACAATACCTTTTATATATTTTGGTACTAATTTACACTTTTGGGTCTGACACCAGAGAAACGATGGTGTCACTTACAGGTATGGTCTCAAATTGCATCCAGTTAGCTAGAAATGTCTTAAGTGTATCATTTATGGCAGAATACAACTACATTGTATTTTTAAAAAATCTACATCTTCTTTATCCATTCACCAGTTGATAGGCATTTGGGCTATCTACAAGACTTGGCTATTACAAACTGTTGCACTCTAAACATGGGTAGGTGTGTATCTCTGTGGCATGATGGTTTTTGTTCTTTCAGGAAGATACCAAGGAAGGGGAAAACTGGGTCAAATGGATCCTTCAGTTTTTGTTTTTTGAGAAATCTCCACATTTATTTTCACAGCGGCTGAACCATTCACTGACGATTTTCACCAGTGGTGTAAAAGGTTTTTTCCCCCACATCCCCAACAGCATTTCCTATTGGTTGGTTTCTGAGTAATAGTTATTCTTTCTGGGGTAAGAGGGAATCTTAGTGTTTTAATTTTCATTTCTCGAATGACCAGTGATGTTGAATATTTTTTCATATATTTGCCTCTTCTACCACTTCTGAGAAGTTGTCTATTTCAGGTGCCCATTTTTGGATCTTTAAATTTGGGGGTTGATCTGACTTTTCTGAGTTGTTGATATAGTCTAGATAATAGTCCTTTGTCTGAGGAACAGATCAAAGAAATTTTTTTGCATAGGGTGGGTTGGTTGTTTCTTCACTCTGTTGATTTCTCTTCCTGTGCAGAAGCTTTTTAATAAGATACCAGTAGATTCTTTGTAATAGTTCCTGTGTAATCAGGGTTTCATTCATAAAGTTTTTGCCTACACCAATGTGTTTAAAAGTTCTACCTATTGTATGTTCCTGCAGACTTAAATGTTTTTCTGCTTTAATGTTTGGATCTTTGATCTATTTTGGTTAGTGCATGGTGAAAAATGTGAGCCTGGCTTTAAACTCTGGCATATGGAAAGCCAGTTTTTCCAGCAACACGTATTTAAAAACTTTCTTCTTGAAAGATGTTTGGCACCTTTATCAAATATCAAGTGCCTGTGTTTGGAGTTCTTTATGCACTTTCTTTTTTTTTTTTTTTTTTTTTTGCTTTAAACAATTTATTTAACTGAAATGGACTTAAGTTTGTTTCTGAAGTGACTTCCATTTATTTTGATACATCTTTTCCCCTTTTATGCACTTTCTAATCTGTTCCATTGGTCCTCAAGTCTATTTTATCTCATTGCCAGTACATGCTGTTTTTATCACAGATTTGTAATGTAATTTCAAGTCAGGGATTGTGATACCTCCTCCCTTGCTTTTGTTGCTCATGTTTGTTCTTCTCCTTCTCCTTCTCCTTTTTTAAAAATTTTTTTGGAACTGGGGATTGAACTCAGGACCTTGCACTTGCCAGGCAAGCACTTATTCTACTGAGCCATTTTCCCTGCCCCTTTAAGTTTCTTCTGATTCCAAATGAATTTTATGATTGTTTTCTCTAATTTTGTGAGATAAACTTTTGGCATTTTGAACAGGATTGGATTAAATCTCTGTAACAATTTTAGAAGTATAGTCATCTTCACTAAATTGGTTCTTCCTACCCAAGAACAAGGGATATCTTTCCATTTCTTTTTTGTTTGTTTCTCTCTTTTTCATAATTTTAATCTTTCCATTTCTGATATTCTCTTTTATCTCCTTTTTCAGAGTATTGTGACTTTCAATTTAAAGTTCTTTCCTCTGTTAATTGACTCGTAGGTATTTCTTTTTGGAAGCTATTGTAAAAGGTATTTGCTAATCCCTTTCTCAGTTGTTTGTTGTGTACAGGAATGCTATTGTTTTTTAGTGTTGACTTTTGTGTGTCCAGTCACACTACTGAATTTGGTTATTAAATCTAAAAGTCTTTTGGTAGAGTTTTTGGTCTTCTATGTAGTGTATCATGTCATACAAGAACCATAATTTATTTTCCTATCTTTATTCCTTTTCTTTTTTTTTGTGGTACCAGGAATCAAACTCTGAACCTCATATTTGCCAGGCAGGCACTGTGCTGCTGAGCTATATTCCCAGGACCCTTTTATTTTTTTCTTGTCTAATTTCTCTGTCTAACATTTCCAAAGCTATATTGAATAAGAATGGTGATAGTGAACATCCTTGTCTTGTTCCTGCTTTTAGAGTGAAAGCTTTGAGTTTTAATGTACTTAGTATGATGTCTTTTGTCCATTTTTAAAACAGCATTGGAGAAAACTCATCATAGAAAAACCTCCTCTATCACTTTGATTCATATTTAAATTTCTTTAAAAGCCGTATAAGCTTCTTGCCAGCTTTAGAAATCAGGAATATATTTGATGATAAAATAGATAATATATCAACCATTGTTAATCAGCTATTCTTGGTCTGAAAATCTGTAACACATGTACTGTTGTACATTGCCCTGTTTCTTTGTTTCTGATTTTTGTTCTTGCTTTGCTTTTACTTTTCAAAATAAAATTAAGTGGCTGGAGAGATGGCTCAGTGGAATAAGCGCTTCTCTGGCATGCACAAGGGCGAGTTCAATCCCCAGTTCCGCAAAATAAATAAATAAAGTAAATAAAATTAAACTCTGAAAGAAAAAAAAATTAACCCAAACTGAATAAAAAACCTAAATGTAAGAATTAAAACTCTTACAAAGGGGCCAGGGAGATGGCTCAGTAGAATAAGTGCTTGCCTGGCAAGCACAAGGTCCTGAGTTCAATCCCCAGTTTCGCAAAAAAATATAAAACCCTTTTTTTTTTTTTTTTTCAGAACCGGGGATTGAACTCAGGTCCTTGAGCTTGCCAGGCAAGTGCTTATTCCACTGAGCTATCTCCCCGGCCCCAAAATAAAACTCTTAAAAATAAATCAGGAATGTTTTTCTGAAATCATCTCTCTGAATGGTAAACCTCAACGTGAGCAAACGTCCCTCTTCCCTCTGGCCTCGGAGTTTCATACTGGCACCCTGCTCTCCGCTGTGGCTGCCTGCTTGCTACGCAGAAAAGTTCTGCTTTTTCTCTGGATAAAGATAATGAACTAGCTCTGATAATCACTTGTACTACCGACGAGGTGATTTCTGAAGGGGCCACGACAACGCAGGGCCAGTCGCAGTCCTGTGCTTTCACGTTCGAGAAGCTGCCGCATAACCTGAGACCAGGTTCACGGTGGTACGGATCCGCCTGCCTTCAGACAGGTGAAGTTTCTCTCTCTTGCAGGTGCTTTAGTGGCTTGCATGTTACGGGGCTTGCATGTTATGGGGCCATTTTCTAAAACTGACACTTTTAATTAATGCTAAAACAATTTTGGCCAGGTCAGACCACAAGCATCTGTTTTCTTCTTTTGGTCTGTGTTTTCTAATTCTCCGTTGACAGTCTGTAAGCAGTGGCCGTGTCATCTAGATATGCTAAAATTTCTTTTCCTTCTCTGGGAAAGCATCGCTGGGCACTTGTGATACCCTAATGTTGAGAGAAACGTCTGGCTGCATTTCAGTTAACGGAACTTGAGGCATTCTCCTTCCGTTTGTCAGAATCCCAATTCTAACGGTAAAGTGGCAGACTTAGAGAGAACTTGGGTGCCCGCGCGAAATCGCAAATATAAGGGACTGGGGAAAATGTAGATGAGCGCGAGGCTCAGGAGGCCTTTGCGCTCAGGATAGCACCAATGTACAGCTAGAGGAGGTACAAACTTTATGCTGGTCCCTAAATCCGGAAACAGCCTATTAGGGAACAGAGGCTTGGCCCGAGATGTGGACTTCCGGTGCGCAGGCGTTCCCCTTTGCCCAGTTTGCGCGTTTACGCACGCGTGCAGACTCCATCCGGACGTCGCTTCCGAGGTCTTAAGTTGCGGGGATTTCTAGTCCACAGGGTTTGGCAGGTGGAGTATACCAGAACCTGCGGGGCTAGGGATCCTGGCAGGCCTGGGAGCAAACGGGCGCGGGCTGTGCGGAACGAGGTCCTTGCGGCTGGGCGGAAGCTTGCAAGGGACGGGAGCGCGAACGCCGAGCCGGAGTTTCGCGAAAGCCAGAGGGGCCGGGCGGGCAGGCGGAGACCTCTGAGGCCTGGCCGACTACGAAACGATGAGAACTGTGAGGCAGACTGGGGCCCCTTGGGAGCAGCAGGGCTGAGGTCTAGGAGCCGTGCAGGGGGAGGGGCAGGAGGGGACAGGACTGGAAAGTGGCGCTCCACTGCTGGGCTAGGTCGGGGGCGCGTAGGCCGAGGGAGGGCGTGGAAGGCAACCCGAGGAGACTACCCGTCGGAGGGGCTCAGGCCGAGGTGCTCAGCTGAAGCATCTGCGAGGAGGGGGTGTCCCAGGTCTCCGCTGCATACATCATCCTGCTGTTCTCACCCCAAGCCCCCTTCCTCAGCATCTGGCCACTCGAGAGTCTCCCAAGGTGTCTGTAAGCGTCCTTCAGCACCCTGCTCTCTGTTCATTGAGTGACCTCAAGCGTGCCCTTGGTGACTCACAGTGGAGCGCAGGACAGGTCTCTCTATGGCCTCGGTTGGTCGACTGGGGCAGTGCAGGTGAGTTTCCTGGTAGAACTGTTGATAGGACAGAAGCTCCGGGTCCAGTGTTCTGTCCACTGTGTCCCAGTTTTTTGTGGAAGCCCCCATCAGCTTTAATCAGATCGTTAAAAACAATGCGCAGAAATCCCACTTTTAAGAGCTGAAATTCTCAATTCTAGGGGCTTCTTTGATTTTTTTTTTTTTTTTTTTACTCGCATTTATTCATTTATTTGGTACAGGGCCTCGCTACGCAGCTCAGACTCATAGTGATCCCCGTCTTAAGTCTCCCCAGCGCTGGGATTACAGGGGTGTGCCACCACGCCTGGATTCGGTGACCAGCTCTGCATGGGGCAAGCATGGCCTGCCGTACCAGTGATCAGACCCCTGCGCTTGCCAGGCATGCACCCAGACCACTGATCTATCTTCCCAGCCCTCTTTGATTTCTTAAAAGCAATTTAAAGAAACAAGTAAATGTGTAGACCAGCAAGAATTTCTCCCCCATGACCACCACTCTTCTATTTGATGGCGGCCTACTGAAAAAGCAGTGTTTCTATTCACTGTTGAGAATCCAGTCCATCTAAACAGCATGTGATTGTGTTGCAGTTACAATGTATGCTTCTTTCTTTTCATCCATTTTGCCAGTTGTCACTTTTCAGAGTATGATTTCATTTGGTGGCTCTGCTGCAGGAGAGTCTTGCCTGTGCCAGCCAGATAACTCCTGACCTCAGTGACCTTTGCCTTCCCTAGGTCCAGCAGCAACAGTCGTTCACTGTCCCAAGAGCAGCAGAAAATGTACAGAATGCAGGTGAGTTTCCCTGTTTGTTTTCTCCCATTTTCCTTTTAATGTATTTCAGAAGGTTTCTAAAGATCTGTCTTTAAAATGAAAGTGTAGAAGTAAATAAAATAAAATGAAATAATTATGTGTAAAATGCAGTGAGTGTCAGATGAGCAATGCTAGTCATTTCTACAGATCTTTCTTTCCCTTTACTTTCTAGGGATACTGGAATTGAACCCAGGACTTTTAAGCTGAACTACATCCTCAACCATTTATTTTTCATTTTGAGTCATTTGCTCACTCAGTTGCTAAGTTCCCCAAGATAGACTTGAACTTGTGATCCTCCCAGATCACAGGTGTGATCATAGGTGTGTGCCACCATGTCTTTTGTCAAGTCTTTTGAATAGGTACTTTAGGGCTGATGAAGTTAAGCAGCAAGCCTGACTCTGGTGTTCTTGACAGTGATAGCCAAAATAAAATAATACGCATTGCAAACATTGTAGTTACTATTGGGAAAAAACATTTGCTGGTGTGGTGGTTTATGACAGTAGTCTAGGACTCTGGGAGGCTGAGGCAGAAGAAATGACAAATTTGAGCCAAGTCCAGAGTCTAAGGATTATAGCCTGCACCACCATTCCTGGTTTTTGATCCCATTGTATAGCCTCTGTTTTGTTAGGTGTAGCACTGCTTTGCTGTTTTAGTAGGTGCTTAGGATATTGTTGTAACCCAAAAATAAAAAACTGGACTCAACTTAAAAGCGCTTTATTTAGCTGAGCTCAGCGGTGGCGCGTATGTCTCCAAGTATGTGCGCACCAAGGTGGGGAGAGACAAAGGTTTTTAAAGCTGAAAACCGCAAAGGGGAGGTCTTATGACTTGAGCGCGAGGGAATGCAGCACGGGGGTCAGCAGCCACTTATGGGAAACAGGTTACATTCTTTTAACATGCAGTTACAATTTTCAGGAACAAATAATTAATTTTTATGGCATGGTATTGATCACAGGATGCCACAAAAATATATGAGATAATTTTGGGAATGGGGAGTTATCCTTAGAACAGAGAGTTACTACTTTAAGATATGGGGCTGATCATAGGAAACATTGTGAACGGGGAGTTATCTGTAGAACAGAGTTATTATCTTAGGATATGGGGCTGATCACAGGACACTTTGTGTAGGCTGCTTTTAACAGTCTGTGGCTCAGAACAAAGGAATATTTTGAACATTAACAAAACTGTTCAGAGGCCAGACGGACGGCTTGGGCCACAAAGATGAAGTCCAAGTTGTCACCTTATGCCAAACAGTCCTCGTTAATAAAGTTACAGTGGAAACATACAGAGGGGTATAATAGAATGGCTATTCTGGTTACAAAATGGAGTCAATCACATAGGTTATAACAGAAATGTACAGGCCGGGGAGATGGTTCAGTAGGATAAGCGCTTGACTGGTAAAACGCAAGGATCTGAGCTCAATCCCCGGTTCCACCAAAAAAAAAACCAAATAACAGAAATGTACAGAGTTGTATAACAAAATAGCTGTTCTAGTTACAAAATGGAGACGGTTACATAGGTTATAACAGATATGCAGTGTGCAATGTTAATTTATCATGGTTCATCCTCAGAAGTACTGTATAGACCATTTTACCTAGAATATAAGAAACTTACGATAGGATATTCCCATTTCTCCTTCCAGCCTTGGTCTTTATACTGTGGTTGCATTTTAACTTTCACATTTCTAAGTTAGTCAGTAATGAGATGAGACAGTCCTCATTGCTCATCCTCTCCTTTGTGTGGATCCACAATTTGCTGTCATTTTACTTCTGTCTGCAGGACTTTCTTTTAACATTTCTAGTTAGTGAGTACTTTTAGTCTTTTGTACCTAAACATGTACCCAGTAAATGTTCATCCCAGATATTAGAGTTTCTCCTGTAGAAGTTCCATTTGAAACCTTTTCTACCTTGCCTGACTATACTCAAGTTTTTTGAACTTAAGAGAATACAGTGGCATGGGCCAGGGAGATAGCTCAGTAGAAAAAGCGTTTGCCTGGCAAGTGCACAGTCCTGAGGTGAATCCCCAGTACTGCAAAAAAAAAAAAA